TTGAAGAGGGAGGTTTTGAAGATCAAGTCAGGGGGGCGGGGGGGGGGCTCAGTGGTGTTTGAATATTTTTGATGGAGGTTACCTGTGAATTATTTTCAGTGCTGTTTGTGTCTAATTCTTTTTTATGTTTGCATATTTCTATATTTTAAATTGCATACTAATGCTTTTACGTCAAGCCGCTTTGAGTCCCTTTGGGAAGATACGGCAGGGGAGAAATGTAACAACAACAACAAACAGCTCTAAGCGGTTTTGGTACTTGGTCAGTGGACGGAGTAATTCAAGCCCAACCTTCCCCTCCTCCAATCAGATCTGGTCCTTTTCCCACCCTCTCTCAGGCCGGTGAGTGAGAAGCCCAGAGCTGAGCGAGAGATTCTCCTGACTGGACTGACCGGTCCCCTCTTTCAGGACGGAAATGGCAGGCCTCTCGCGTCTTGATTGGAGGCCTCTCTTGTTCCAGCTGGACTTCTGCCTGGCGTCCATTCCGTCATGGTTCCCTCTGGATTCCTTCTTCGTGGCCCTTTGCTCACCTTCCGTTTCTCCTTCCGTTTTCTCCTCCTTCTTTGCCCCCCCCTTCTCATCCTGCTTTCCCAGTTTTCATTGTCCTTCTTTGGGGGCCACTAGAGATCTCTTCAAAATGGCCTTTAGTTGATCCAGCTTATCGTTGGCACTATTGATTAATCCATTCAGAATTTCCAGTGGTTTCATCACTTCTGTACCTTCAGCCAACATCTTCTTATGTTGTTTTCCTTTCTCCATTTTTGGAGGTTTCCACTGAACGTTGGATTTCTTCTTTAAGCGCTTTTATCCAATTGATGGATAATGTTCTTCCATCTGAACATTAGGAAGAACTTCCTGACTGTGAGAGCCGTTCAGCAGTGGAACTCTCTGCCCCGGAGTGTGGTGGAGGCTCCTTCTTTGGAAGCTTTTAACAGAGGCTGGATGGCCATCTGTCAGGGGTGATTTGAATGCAATATTCCTGCTTCTTGGCAGGGGGTTGGACTGGATGGCCCATGAGGTCTCTTCCAACTCTTTGATTCTATGATTCTATGATTCTATGAATGTCATATTTTGGTAAGTTTTCAAACGAATGTCTTTTGCAAACAAGCTCCTCTATTTGGCAATGCTTCAGGAAGACGTTTGATAAATCAATGAGCTGTGCTGACTTCTCTTGGATTCAAGGCCACGCTGAAATCCCTTCCTCCTTTCCTTCCTCTTTTCCCTCTGATCCAGAAAATGACAAATCAAGATGGCACGGAGACTGGGCCTCTTTCGTCACAAGAAGAACGGCACTTTTATCTTCTATTTCAAATATCAAGCTTTCCATTCAGTCTTGTTTCTCTTTCTCTTCCTTCCTTCCTTCCTTCCTTCCTTCCTTCCTTCCTTCCTTCCTTCCTTCCTTCCTTCCTTCCTGTTTTCCAGGTTATCTTTTTGTCAATATCAGTTAGAGATCCCTGTCCGTATACAATAGGTTAACGGGGTATTATATCGTTATGATCAAATACTTGCCGGTAGAGAGTCACTCCTTCGTTGTCTCCTTTCCTCCTCCTCCTCCTCTAAATAGTCTTTGATTCCAAAAGGAGATTTTGAGGGAAGATAATCAGGTTGGGAAAGTGGGTCGGGGGTTGGCAGTAGAGATGAAAACACCGGCAACGATTATGTGCGTGTCCCCTCAATGGCGATCCATCTAGGGCAGTGGTTCTCAACCTGGGGGTCCCCAGATGTTTTGCCCTTCCACTCTTAACATCTGGTCAACTGGCTGGGACTCCTAGGAGTTGTAGGCCAAAACACCTGGAGGGACACAGGTTGAGAACCCCCAAGAGACCCCCAAAACATCACGCCTTCCCCCATCAACACCACTGTTGCCAAGTTTGCAAAGGTCCACACTTCTCCTGGGCTTATTTCTGTGTAGCCAGGTGAACTCCTGCCCTCATTTTGAGCTCGTTGGAGGCACTAATCTTGCTAACGACTACGGACAGAGCGTTTCATCATTTAGTCTGCCGCCATTCCTAAACCGGAAGTCCAAGTTGAGGTCTTTGAATATCGATTGTTTCTAATTAGACATCCATACGTCAATATTGTTTGCCAAATTGGATGCTCTGAGGAAGGCCACGTGACTTGTAGAGCTGGTGCCACACGTGGGGTCAAGCAGGGCTGCGTTCTGGCCAAGTCATGTTCTCGTTATGTAATTGCGCAAGGGGGAGGAGCTTCCGGGTCTCCTTTCTCCCTCGTTTTTGAGCTGTAGGGATGAAACTTGCTACAATGGGAGACCACTGTTAGCCCCCCCCCCCCCAAGTTTGAGAACGTTCAAGGCATTCACTGATTTTGGGGAATTCTAACCAACATAAACTTAACAATACTATTTCACAGGAAGACCCCAGAGGCCATCCAGTCCAGCCCCCTTCTGCCAGGAAGGAAAAGCACACTCAAACCACCCCAACAGATGCCCATTCATTTATTTATGACATTTATAGCCTGTCTTCTCACTCCGAAGGAGACTCAAACAGTCTTTGAAATAACAACAACAACGATAGAAACAACAGCAAAAGCAGTAATAGAAAACCTGTTGGGTAAACTTTGGAGTTCCTGCCTCTCTCAGCTTGGCTTTCCTCACAGAGTTGATTCAACCCCCAACAGTCTCTTTCTATCTCTCAATCCCTTTAGAGAATGAACACGGGTTTTCCCCCAGCACAACTTTTAGGGAAGAGTAGGAGGCTGTGCAAGGCCGTCAGGGGAATTCTGGGAAATGTAGTTTGTGGCAGAGAATGCAAAAGGCTCCACCCTAAACTACATTTCCCAGAACTCTGCTGGCTTCCTGTGTTGATGCCTCAATGTGAATGTGGGCCAGGGACCCCTCTCTGCCTCTGATGAACGAAGGAATGGCAGGGATTGGTGGGCTGGATCCGACACCCCCCCCCCCATAAGAGCAAAGAAGGGAGCGCAGAGGGACCCGGGGACGTGCAGTCCTTCTGAAGACCAGCCTTTCTCCCCATCTGAAGACCCAGCTTCTGTTCCTCCCCCATTGAGGAGGGGGCATGTGGGAAGGAAGAGGGAGGGGCCCCAAATGAGACCCCAAAGATCCTCTTGGAGGGGGGAAGAGGAGGGCGGGAGGGTCCTTGATTCAGACCAGGGAGGGAAGGGGAATGGAAGACCCCCCCCCCCCCAAAGGACTGACTCTGAGGCATTAGACTTCATGCTCTCCTTATGGAATCCTGCCTGACAGAAAGCCAGCTTGATCTGGATGAAGGGATATCATTTTGGAGGAGGTCCAGTTCGGCAGCTAGAGAATGGATTGTGCTTTTGACCACAAAAGGAACAATATGTTTGGGAGCCTTGTTTTTCTAAAAATTCTAGGCAACTCTACAGATTGCAGAGGGTTCAAATCCCCCTTTGCCCCTCTTTGTCCCCCTGCGTGCCTTCTGCCCATTCCTTTTTCCTCCTCCCGTGCCTCTTCCATGCGAGGCCAGGCATGGCGGACCCTCCGTGCCCCATCTGGCCATGCCAGGGGTCAAAGGGGATGGTCGCAAGGGTCGGCAAAGGCCAAAGGGATTCAGAAGGCAAAGGCCCAGCCTTGCAATTTACAGAGTTGTTATCATCATCATTATTATTATCATCATCATCTCATCTATCCTGCTTTCTGCCAACAATAAAAGAAACACAAGATATCATTTAAAGCTGAAAAACACACACATTAAAATTAAACATTGACACTATTTAAAATAAACAGTTAAAGCCAATTAGAAGCCTGTTCTGAGCCCTCCCAGGAAAGGTAAGCAGGTAAGCAGGCCCAACCCATCACCTTGTTGGCCATTAAAGCAGTCATGCAAACGTTAATGGATCACCTGCTGGACGCTCTCAGTTGGGCCAATACGTTGGAGGGCAATAAGCAGGACTCAGAGCTGGCCGTACTCCCAGGAGACTGAAGAGCCCTCCCCAAAACTAGGAGGCAAAGTGGGCCCCGCAATCTGCAGTTACTGTGAGGAGAAAGCCATGGTGCTTGTTGTGTGATCAATAAACTCTCTGGTTAATTGGGGGGCCATTTACCTGGTGGCACAAGCTATGCAATGTCCTGCTTAGGAAACAAGCCTGGCACTACCCAGGTGACAGCCTCAGCTCACCTGGCAGGTGATCCTCAATGAAACCCCTACAAATGGACTTTGTGGGGCCAAAGAGGGGCCTGTAGTGGATGTGGTGAACTTGATGTCTTCCCTCCTACCCCTGGAGCCAGAGCAGAAGCATCATCTTTAGCACTGGGGGTCCACCCATCCTCCCTCTACCCCCTTCTCTCGTGTCCTGCTGCTAGGCTGAGTGCCTTCCACCCTGTGCTTCTGCATCCCTATCTCCGTTTTTGTGGTCTTGGTGTAGAAGTTTGCTTTGTTTCTTTCCTTTGTATTTGTTCTGCCTGATGTTTCACACCTTTGTGGTATAGGTTTTGTAAGAATGCAATATGTCAAGGGACTTTGTGGCCGAATGTGCTCTCCATGTCTCCAGGTTCCTCGCTTTAGAAACGTGGGGCAGGGATCGCACTGCAGGGAAAGAGAGGGTCAGGAAAAAAATGGCTTCAGTTGGAAGAAATGAAGTATTTTTCTCACAAGACGGATCACTTGGGATGGTCTGTCCATACACGTGGTCACTCAGGTTCTGAGTTGGGATGTGAGGAAGCGGGATCTAGGCAGGAAACGCTTTGCAATCTGAGTCCTTTCTGTGCTGACCGTATTGTTAGAAGTCTTCCTTTGCAAAGGTTGGATGACACTCTGAACACACTGCAGTTCAAATAATCCCATACAGGGAATCGTGGGCCACTCTCCCCTCTTTGCAGGGCTTGCTCTTTGTTGGGCAAGTGTTAAAGTTCTTCTCAGCAGGCAGAGGCTCTTCTCAATAGGACCGCTCTTTCTCCCTTCTTCTCCGGCATTGGCTACAGCACCAAGCTATTGTTCTTATTGTTCAAGGAGAGACTTCTGTGCTCTGCTCCTGATAAGATTTTCCTCTCATTTCTCTGGCAGGTGACCTCTGAAGGAACCTTGAGAAGAACACTTCCCTTTGTCTTAGGTCAGGAATGAAATTACACGGCACTCACAACAAATAAGTTGGAGAAATTATATTTCGAGCTCCATAGCTGTGTATTCAAGGAGGAAAGGGAGGATTGTGCTGTAAACAGTAGAGCAATACAAAGACTGAGAAGCGGAAATCAGGAGAACATATTTGTGACCTTCTGGCATAATATTAGAATCATAAATGTAAAAGAATGGAAAATCTCAATTCCTTGTCAAAATCACACACAGGGGAGAAGCGACATAACTGTATGGAATGTGGGAAATGTTTCACTGCGAGAAGTTCTCTTACTAAACATCAGCGAACACACACAGGAGAGAAGCCATATAAATGCGTGGAATGTGGAAAGAGCTTCAGTGAAAGTGGGACTCTGCGTAAGCATCAAAGGATCCACACAGGAGAGAAGCCACATAAATGCATGGAATGTGGAAAGAGCTTCAGACGTAGTGGAAACCTGCATTCCCATCAAAGGATCCATACAGGGAAGAAGCCATATAAATGCGTGGAATGTGGAAAGAGCTTCAGTCAGAGTGGGAATCTGCGTATCCATCAAAGAACCCACACAGGGGAGAAGCCATATAAATGCATGGAATGTGGAAAGAGCTTCAGTGACAGTCAGAATCTGCATACCCATCAAAGGACCCATACAGGGGAGAAGCCACAAAAATGCTTGGAATGTGGAAAGAGCTTCAGTCATGGTGTGTCTCTGCGTATCCATCAAAGGATCCATACAGGGGAGAAGCCACATAAATGCATAGAATGTGGAAAGAGCTTCAGTCAGAGTGCAAATCTGCATACCCATCAAAGGATCCACACAGGAGAGAAACCACATAAATGCATGGAATGTGGAAAGAGCTTCAGTGAAAGTGGGACTCTGTGTAAGCATCAAAGGATTCACACAGGAGAAAAGCCACATAAATGCATGGAATGTGGAAAGAGCTTCAGTCAGAGTGGACATCTGCGTATCCATCAAAGAACCCACACAGGGGAGTAGCTACATGTTGTATATACTTGAGTATAAGCCAACCGAATTTAAGACAAGGCACCTAATTTAGTACAAAAGCTGAGAAAACTTATTGACTTGAGTATAAGCTGAGGTTGGGAAATGCAGCAGCTATTGGTAAATTTCAAGAATAAAAATAGATACCAATAAAATTACATTAATTGGGGCACCTAATTTAGCACAAAAGCTGAGCAAACTTATTGACTTGAGTATAAGCTGAGGGTGGGAAATGCAGCAGCTATTGGTAAATTTCGAGAATAAAAATAAAAATAGATGGCAATAAAATTACATTAATTGAGGCATCTATAGGTTAAATGTTTCTGAATAATTGCATAAAACTGTAATTTAAGATAAGACTGTCCAACTCTGATTAAAACCTTCTTCAGTATAAATGTGCTTACGTATCCCTCCAATAATAATAAATAGGGTAAAATATTAAATGTATTAATAATAATAAATAGGGCAAATTAATAAATGTAATAATAAGAACAATAAATAGAGTAAAATAATAAATGTAATAATAATAATAAATAGAGAAAAATAAATGTATGAATAATAATAGAGAAAAATAATAAATAATAACACAATAAAAATGTAGTAACAGTGATAGAGTAAAATAATAAATGTAGTAATAGCGATAAAGTAAAATAATAAATGTAATAATAATAGAGTACAATTTTAACTGCAGTATACATTTTGGGAAAAATGCTGTGTGTATATGAATAATAAAAAGTGGGAAAGACTGACTTGAAGGGGGTGAGAAAGAAGGACTGGAAACGGGGAATAGTTGGAATGGGAAGGAGTGTTTGGAAATAGTGGGAAAATGAAGTGGAAAAGTAAGAGAGATTAGGGTGAGAAGGGGCAACTGGGGAAGGGGAAAGATTAAGGTGGGAAAGGGGTGCTGGAACCTCGGAAAGGCTGGGATGGAGAGTGGAGAGAGAGGAGATGGGGATAGTAAAGACTGGGATAGGACGGGGGAACTAGAAAAAGGAAAGACGGGGGTGGGAAAGGGGTGCTGGGAAAGTGGGGGAAAGACTGAGGGAGGGAGGCGTTGTCTGTCCCATCCAAGGAGGGACCAAGCCCTGGGTCTCCTCCTCCTCCTCTCCACCTGAGCACTTGAGTCCTGGCCATGGATATACAAATAAGACATCCCCTGAAAATAAGCCATAGTATGTCTTCTTGAAAAAGAAATAGTGTCTTATTTTGGGGGAAACATGGAAGGAGCAACTTTGTTTACTAGGACGCAATAGAGCCATGGCTTCAAACCTCAAGGCAGGAGATTCCACCTGAACATGAGAAAGAACTTCCTGACTGTGAGAGCTGTTCATCACTGGAACTCTCTGCCTCGGAGAGTGGTGGAGGCTTCTTCTTTGGAAGCTTTTCAAAAGATGCTGGATGGCCATCTGTAGGGTGTGCTTTGAATGAGATTTTCCTGCTTCTTGGCAGAATGGGGTTGGACTGGATGATGGCCCACAACATCTCTTCCAACTCAAGGATTCTATGAAACGAGATTGGGACCAACTAATAATTCACGAGTTATAACAATGAGGGGACATTTGTTTATTGTGGGTTTTAGGAATGAGTTTACTATATTTAGAAACGGAAGAGTAAATATAGAACAGCATTTAAAGTGAGTGAATACAGATGAAAATTAGCGTGCGGAAAGAGATGTGTTGATTCATTGTTCTCTTAGTTTTGTTCTTATTATGTCGGTGTGTGTTGTTCAGTCTTTCATGTTTGTTAAGGATTCCTTTTTTAAAATTCGCATAAACATGATTTTCTTTCTTGCCTTTGAATAAAAATTATTTTGAAAAACCAGAGTGTGATGTGGCAGCCACAAATGCCAATGTGATCCCAGGCTGTGCCGAGAGGAGACGTGGTGTCTACGTCCAAGGAAGTCACAGCCTCCTTTCTCCTGCTTTGCTCAGACCTCACCTGCAATCGCTCTGTCTCCCGTTCTGGGCAGCACAACTCAAGGCGGATATTGACAAGCCAGAATATCTCCAGAGACGGGCTGTAGGGAATGTCTGAAAAGAGCTGGGTGTGTTTAGCTTAGAGCAGTGGGTCTCACCCTGTGGGTCTCTCCCCAGGTGTTGTGGCCTACAACTCCCAGAAATCCCAGCCAGTTGACCAGTTGTGAGGATTTCTGGGAGGTGAAGGCCAAAACGCATCTGGGGAGAGACCCACAGGGTGAGAAGAGAAGGAAGGGCTTCTTCCTCGGCAGGGAGGGAGGGGGGGCGGCCAGGGAATGGTTTTTGGGGTTCATGTGACCCCCTGACTGTGGTGTAGAAAAAGATGGATAGGAATGCATGGCACTCACCTCCAGTGTGAATGAGACAGTTCTTAATAGACACGTGTTCACAGCATAACAATCTCAAGGGTTAAGACAACAGAAGATGGCGTGACAGGGACAGAATCTGGAGAGAAGGGTGGGAGCGGCTTGTATGTGCCCGTCCTTCTCTGCCACGTGGCTTGCTATCTGCCATTGGTTAGAGGCTGTAACGAAATAGCTAATTATAATGTATGTTTCATAAATGTTGATTAATGTTACGATGTAAGTGCAGGCCAGCTGATGTGTCGCCTGAGCTGAGGCGTTGCCATAGCGACGGACCGGCTGTGAGAATGTGTCCAAGTTAGAGAAGCCAAAGGGGCGGAGCTAACTGCCACTCGGCCGGGGCAGGCGTTTGGAAAGAGTGCGTTTCTTTTAGTCAGCGGACAAGAGTGGAAGTTGGGTTCTGGTGTGTGGAGACCCTGAACCCAGGGGTTTAAGTCTTCAGCCTGTGTGTTTACAGTCTCAATTGGGCCTCTTTAAATTAGGAATTAGCTCGTGAGCTCAGGGGAAAGCGGAAGGGAGAAAAAGGCAAGCCAGTGCCTGAATTGTCAGTGAATCCTTAAATAAATATCTCCTTGATCAGTTCTTTATAATCAAGACTCATGTCCATTTATTGAGAAGAAGATTTACCTCAGAAGAAGGCAGCTGAAGATATTGGAAGAAAGGATTCTGGTTGGGGTAATGAGTTACTCCTTTTAAAAAGTGCCTCAAAAAACGTCAAACCTCAGCTCCACGCACCACCACAACTTTAGTCTCCTCGTTGCCCTGGTTATTTATTTGTTTTATTTCGAACACTTTTACCCCGCCCTTCTCAACCCCTTTCTCTGGGGGGGGGGGGGGCTTAGGGCGGCTTCCAATTGGCAACAATTAGATGCCACATAATAAAATACGAAACAGCAATTATAACAGTTGAAAGCATAAACATTAAGACATAAAGATGAAAACAGTATGTTAACAGTCCATTGAGCTATTACCAGGGTGGCCATTTATCTAGCCATATACTATGACTGAGTACTCCATTTAACGTACCCATAATCCACTTCCAGGCCATAGTCAACATTGTCAATTGTCCTTTTAACCTAATTGCCCGAAGGCCTGCTCCCACATCCACYTTTTTACCTTCTTTCTAAAGGTGAAGAAGAATGATGATGATCTAACTTCCCCGCGAAGTTAATTCCACAGGCGGGGGGCCACCACCGAGCAGGCCCCGTCCCTTGTCCCTTGTCCCCAATGTGTTTAGAGACAGAGGCGGGGCCGAGAGCAGGGCCTCCCCAGAAGATCTTAAACTCTGAGGTGGGACGTAGAAGGAAATACGTTCGGACAGGTACACTGGACCGGAGCCGTATAGGGTTTTATAGGTCAAAACCAGCACTTTGAATTGTGCTCGAAATTGGATCAGCAGCCAGTGGATATGACATATATGTATGTGTCATTTGTTTGTCGTATTTTACAGAGGCCTTGACATAGTTGTCTCCATATGCAGTCCATCCCCATCCTTGTTGTGTGAACTGATTCTCTTTCAGAGTGTCTTTGTATATTAAAAGAAGACCTGTACATAGTTATAAGTAGSAAATAAYTCAAGAATBKAACCCCCAAGTCAGAACTCAAGAGTGTTGCTTCCAAGAGATGAGCTCCTTTACAAGGCCAGAGGCCGTGACACTGTGACCAGGACTCTGCGCTGGAAAGCGGGCCATTCTAGAGAGGAGGGGGCTCCCCACCCACGGGCTCCCCATCCCAGTGTGCGCTTCCCTTCCTCTTACTTGCCACCTGCTGTTTCCGCTCTAGAGTAAGAGGCGCTCACAACCTGGGGATCACAACCAGACACAGTGGAGACATCTGCCCTTGCGCTTGGCTACTCTGCTGCTGAATACGCATGCCCAGTGTGGGACACATCTCARCARGTRAAAACAGTGGGTGTGGCTCTGAGTGAGACAGGACGCATTKRCACAGGATGCCTACGCCCCACTCCTCTGGAGAAATTATACTGTTTAGGTGGTATTGCATCGCTGGGAAATGTTTGTGTGCATCAGGAGTGACTTGAGAAACTGCAAGTCCCACAAGGATGGTAGAACATCAAAACATCAGTGTGTCCCCTGGGCGACGTCCTTGCAGATGGCCAATTCTCATACCAGAAGGGACTTGCAGTTTCGCCGGGAAGCAGCAGCCAACAGTGAAAGGACCAAGGCAGTGGCACCTCTGGCCCATTCCCCGTAGATAACCCCATGATGCCCCCCCCCCCCCGGTGTGTACTTGCCCCACTCTCTCTCCTGGGCCCACCCCCTCCTGAGTCCACCCCGCCCAGCAACCCCCCTTCCTGGCCCGGCCTCAGACATGTTCCATAGCCGAGGATGGTTTGTGGCCAGGGGATGGTCTTAGTGAGAGAGGGGGGAGAGCGGTGTCAGTTCAGTTTGAGACTCCTCATGGGGAAGGTGATTTCCCTCCTCCTCTGGGGAGTATTTGGGGGTGGGCCCTGCCCTCTCCTTCCCTCCCGAGGGACCCTCCCTCTTCCCTCCAAACAGACTTCCTCTTGTCCTGCTTCTGAGGAGGGCAGGGCTCAGCCTTGGGACCCTTTCTATTGGCTTCCCTTTCCTTCCTTCCTGGCCTAACAGGCTATTCCTGGGCTTCTTCCTCTTGCAGATGAACAGCTTTGCCCTCACAGAGCCTCCTCTTCACACCAAACTAACATACAAGCTTCACACAGTAGATTGACACCCGAGGCCTTCAACCTGGGGCTTCTCTCACTCTGAGGCCTTCTCACACTGAGGCCAACTAAGCTACAGGTCCAGCTGCCTATATTGAGCTGCATCCATTCAACCAATATTTCTGACACACACACAGAGAGAGAGAGAGAGACTGAAGGGGAGCAGGACAGGAGCCCAGTCCAACAGGGAGGGAGGGAGGGGGGCCAGGCTTGTGGGTTGCGCTGAGTAGGCCTTGGATGAGACTGTGCTCAAAATCCGAGGCTGGTCTGTGTCCCTCCTTCCTTCCCTCTCTCCCTCCCTCCCTCTGAATGGCGGGAATGGCAGAGGGAGCATCAGCCCGGGAGGCCGGGTCTGCCCGGAGACTAGTGACGCGGCCAGCGGAGGCCCATTCCCATTGGCGCATCCCCGAAGGGAAGGAAG